CCGCCCCTGCCCGCCGCGGCCCGGAAGCCCTCCCTCCTGCCTCTGCAGCCTGGCGGCAGCGGCAAACAACCACGTGCCCGCGAGGTGCCCGCGACGCGACCCATGCTTGCCCCTCGGGGCACAGAGAGCGACCTGGCCCGTGCCGGCCGCAGATGTGAGGTTCTCCGGGCTTAGGGTTCCCCTAAAAGGGAGCAATGGGATCCTCTGGTTCTGGAGGTGGGTCTGCCCAGGTGAGTGGCGCGTGGGAACCCTTGAGCGCCACGTGTGAGGACCCTGGCCTGCCCAGTGATCACAGCAGCACACAAAAGGATGAGCTGTTTCTTCCTGACGCCCTGCCCCGCCATTCACATCCTCCTCCCTCTACGCCAGGCTGATGCCTCCCCGTCAGCCCGGACCCCAGCCCTGCGCAGTGGCTCCTTACGTCCCTCTGGTTGGAGAGTGAAGGAACACCAGACCGCTAATCGCAGAATGCTAATCTCTTCGCTTTCCCTGCACCCCTACCAAAAATCAGCCAGAGGCCCACTTATGAGGGGTCCTCCGCTGGCCCCGTGCAGGCTCAGTGCCCAAAGACCTCTCCCCAGCGACCTCGAACCTGCTGGGCTGCGGGCCACGCTCCCACAGTAGCCCTCTTAAAGGGGACACTGCTGGTGTTCACTGTGCTAAAGGGAGATGGGGGAAGCCCAGGAGACTTATTTCACCTGTTCAACTCTTCGTTCATGTAAGGAGTGACTGCCTGGTTCTGGATCCTGGGCAGATACTTCTTCTCTGTAGGTCTCATTCCAGATGGAAGCACACGGAGAACATTGTTGGGAGATTCCTGAGTCCGGAATACATGCCAATCCCTTCTTTGCATGTGCCCTGCTCATCTGTGTTCTCCTAGGCTTGTCAGCCCTCCTGCCGCTTATCCTTCAGCCCTCACATGGGAGTCACCTCGAGGCAGCCTTCCCCAGGCAGCCTTCCCCGTGGGATGACCCTGCGTGCATTCCCCTGGCCTTTGTCCCTCTCAGCAGCATGAGTCACACTGAGTTGTCCCAAGTTCTTCTGCCTGCCTTGCTTTCTTTTTTGGTGGAATCGGGGATTGAACTCAGACTCTTGCGCTTGCCAGGGGAGTGCTTGTTCCACTGAGCCATCCATCTGCCCTGCCTCTGCCTTTCTTAAAAGTTGGGAATTTTCTTGGTCAATTTTGTATCTCCAGCATCTAACAAAGTCCTTAACCCACAGAATAAAGGAGTAAACATAAATCTATGCAGTTAATGGTCAGTTTTATCATTTAACAGAGGATTTCATACTGTGGAGTGAAATGTTTCCTGTTAATAGTAGTGTCCCAAGGGCCGTCCAGATAACTCAGTGGCTCTGCCAGCCCTCCCCCCCACCCCCGACTCGCTGAGATGGCAACTGAGACGGGCATGGTGGCCCACACCTGTAATCTCAGCTCTTGGGAGGCTGAAAACAGAATCACCATGAGTCGGATCTATGTAGTGAGACCCTGTAGACTCTGTCCTAAATTAAAAAAAAAAAAAAAGTGTCCTAAGGCCTTGTTCTCTGTCTGTGGCCGTGGCCGTGGTGATCCAGCCATAGTAAGGGTTGTAAACAAGCCCCCATTCAGACCTCTTCTGTGGAGGGTCTGTCCAGACATGGAAGGCAGGGCAGTTGTCAGAGATGATTGAAAAGGTCTGGTGTTGGGACTTGGGGGAGCTCTGGAGGCTGACAGAAACTTAATTCTGGACTGTGACTGTTCATCTGGGCCTAGCACAGTTCTTTCTAGGTCCACCTCAGCCAAAAGCACATTAGCAGTTGGCTTTGGCTGCTGATTTCTGTGCAGACAGAAAAGGAACAGGGAAGAAGTTGTCTATTGTGACATCCCCAAGTCCAAGCTCTCCTTAGTGGGAACTCTGATCTTACAACTAATCTTCTGGCTCCTGGGTGCAGGTCACTGTTTATCCTTGATCTGGGGAACATTCAAGAAAACTGAATCATTCTGTTCAAGCCCTGTGCAGACTAGTACTAGCTGAGGGTGAGGGTGAAATTAGAGGGCAGGAGGGAAAGCATCTCTGATGGGCCGGGGTGGTGGGCATGTCAGCCAGGTGATCAGCTTAGGAGGATGATCTGAATTAATTCTCATAATCCCTGTACTCAGGACTCAGCCTCTTTCCTAATCCCATCCCAGGAGATCATCCTTTCTGAGGACTGATGCAGCCATTTATCCCCTTTTACCCTTATTTCTAAATGCCTAGATCCTTTCTTTAAAAATTTTAAAATGAGTTTTTGAAACATGCAAAAAAGTATAGCATTAGAATAACATTACAAATATCCATGCACACAAGACTAAAATCCAGCTATTCATATGTTGCCACATTTGATTCTCTGGTTTTGCAGTTTTACATGTATATATCCACAGGTAATCCATCATTTTGGTATGCTTGTTTTAGAAATTTGCCTAAATGGTATTGTATACTTTTTTCTGCAAAGATTTTTCTCAATTCTTTTATATTAATTCATAGTTTTCTCCTGTAGCTCCAGTTCATGAATACTATTTCATTGCTGAGTAGGTCACAGTTTATCCATTCTGCTAGTGGGTGTTAGGCTTTTTCCATATTAAAAACAATGCTGCAGTGAGTAGTTTTGTGAGTGCCACCTGTGTGTTTCCTGAAGGCAGATACGAAGAAGTGGAATTTCTGAGTCATGGGATAGGTGCAGCTCTGCTAGTTGTGGCCATGCTTTTCTACAAAGTAATCAGACCAATTTAATTAATTGCAGCTTTATTTATCTTATTTATCTCCTGATCTCCCACTGACTTGGACACATTCTATTTCTGTTGTTTCAGCGATTATGTTTTATATATTTTCTAAATATTCTTCCCCCAAATCTACAGTAAGTGCACATTTTCTGAATAATAGAAGGAACTCCAAACATGTTAATTCCGATCTTCCTCATAATCTCCCATATTTCTATCCAGTAGTTTTACTTTGTTTCTAACCCCACTAAATTTAGGTTAAATACATTAGTACACCTAGATAAGCATTGAAATGATGATGATCCAGTACCACCGCCACCACTACCCCCATCTCTATGCTTGCTGGATTTTTTTCATGTACATAAAAATCCATCTGGGTGTTGCATGCCTATAATCCCAGCGCTGGGAGGCTGAAGCAGGAGGATCATTGTGAGTTTGAGACCAATCTTGGTTACAAAATGAGCTCAAGGCCAGCCTGAACTACATAGTGAGACCCTCTTCTCAAAAAGACAAAAAATTAATCTATACGCCATTTCTTCTTGCACTCAATTCCTCATTCAGTTTCTTTGTCATGAAATAGATTCTTTTGTGGCACTTCAGTTAAAGTCCTCAAGTGTTGAACATTCTCAATCTTTGCCTTAATGTGCTTACATTTCACATCCTTTACATGGAGTTTGTTTATTTATTATTTTATTTTTTAATTTAATTTATTTATTTACTCTGTGTGTGTGTGTGTGTGTGTGTGTGTGTGTGTGGCCAGCTCAGCCCACC